CATATATACTTTGATTTGCGGTAATACAATGATCAAGTATAAAGAATGGAGCACAATATAATAAAGATCAAACAAGCAGATCGATGATATTAGGTTTTGGGTTTAAAATCATGTTATGAGTTCTGTAAATAAAATTGTAAACAATGGTGCTAATATTTGGTCATGAATAACTTGGTCATTAATAAGAAAAAATATTTGCTTTTTATATCTTTCTCTATTAATGAAAATCTGCTCTATTAAAATACTTTATTTACTTAAGCTGAAGAAACTCAATCACCCACTAAAGCTTGTGTTTATAATCTATCACTAGTTAGTAATCAGAATAACAAACGAAGATTTATCCGACACGAGACTTCTAACTTTCCTAAAACTTCCTCTTAACGCAGTTACATTTAGTTTTACCGAACATATTTTTCTTTAGAAGTTGTTCTTAGCTTTGCTCCTACTTCTAGAAGGTCTTCGCATCAATAAAGACTTGAGCGACTGTCTGCTATTAGATATGTTTTTATTTTTGAGCAATAACAAAACAAAAAAAAAATTAATAAGTAGAAAATGCTTTATTAGAATAATGAAGGTATATAGAGGAAAATTAGTTCATATATTAATATTACCATCGAGGTAGATAATTTCAAGATTGAACGATGTGAATAAATAACAAGGGATATTCCGTTTCATACAACCCAGAATTCATACATAATATACGATTGATAAATATTCACTCATCGAAATAGAATATTTTGTAAAACCTCCGACAAACGTTGTAATTAAAAATGAGTTAATATGCATTCTTGAAATTCCTGACTAATCATTTCTTGACTAATCATCACATACATTACATTCATTCTGAAAACTTGTTTCTGTTACAATAATTTAGTAATACTTAATAGCTTAAAATATGCAGTACTTTGCTTTCAAACCTTCCTACAGCGACATATTATACTATAAATAAAACAAATGCATGCTCAAGAACTGGTATGGGCGACATCTTGCAGTTTCTAGTTTTTTTGCAATGGCTAAAGATGTTTTGCAAGGAAATATTTCAACGCAAACGTAAGAGACAAAAACAGAATATCAACTATATAGACTTGTGAATTCATATTTAATTAAAATAATATAAAACTTTTCGAAGGATTTTATCGACTAAAAATAATTCCAGATATATTATAAAATACAATAATATAATATTTATATTCATGGCATTCACATATTAAGTGTTTCATAAAAAGGTCAATGGTTCACGGATTAATTTCGGAATCTAAATTTATTTTTAGAGTATACGAAAATACATTTTAACAAATAATCAGGATCATAATAATCTTAGTTTGCCGTTTAGTTTGATATGCGAACTTACCTTGCATCCTACTCTTAATTAAATTAACTGACAGTGAAAAGAACTACCCGAATTATCTAATTATAAGAAAAAAGTTAACAAATAATCGTTCCGTATGATTCTATGTTATTTTAATTATTTATGAATGGTTATTGTATGAAATATTTTATTTTGGATAGAAAATCCAAGTTCTTATCAGAAAATCGGCAAAAAATTAACAACCGGTGCACATTTGTCGCAGACGAGTTTTATCAATGGTAAAACAAGTGTGAAACAAAAAAAAATGGCATATATCAAGTAAAACACAAGCATGACGTGACCACGTATCAAATTATTTCAAGGCAATTCAAAAGTGCCATAAATTCAAGGTAATAATATTGTTGTACTGTCAACAATATACTCTAGAATTGTAGTTTGTAATTGCGGTATCGTGCTGAAATATTGCCTAATTAGATACAAATTATATACATATATTAATACAAATACAAATACATACACACACACACAATATATATATATTGATGAGTTATTTAGAATCGGGCAGTAACACCAAGTAAAAAAAACTAAAGAGGTTTTTGAAATACTTTATTTATCCATACGTTTCGTCTTCATCGAGACCGTCATTCAGTGGAAAAATTAAAAGATTCTTTTACACGGCCATAAATATAAGACTAGATAACAATTCGCTTTGCAATGACTATAAAATAATCCTCGACCATTTTAAAAACACCACCATAACTAAATGAAGCGTGTATTTTATTATTTTATTATTTTACTAAAAACAAATGTTTGCCAGTTTTTTTACACTTTCACAAAATTGTAAAAACAATTCATTCAGTATTTAGACGTTAGTCAATCTGTACACACTAGAATGTAACCAAAAATTGTCAAAAAAATAATTAGTTTAAATGTTCCAGTTATTAATAGCTTGGTTTATCACAGTGTAATAGTGTAAGTGTATTTTTGTATAATTAATTTCTGTAAGTATTTATATATAAGTTCTATAACTTCATAATATTTTTCTCCTACATAATATAAAATCTTTTAGTTTTTCCACTGAATGACGGTCTCGATGAAGACCAAAACGTATGGATAAATAAAGTATTTCAAAAACTACTTTAGTTTTTTTTACTTGGTGTTACTGCCCGATTCTAAATAACTCATCAAAATATATATCAACACCAAACTCACATATTTCAATATATATATATATATATATATATATATATATATATATATATATATATCTTCTTTTCCTTAATTTCGTAAGAATTGATTCAGAGAACATCACTATAGCTTTATACTCTCCCCAATAAAAGCAAAGAGAAAACCAAGAAGTGTAATAAATAATTTTAATTTTTTTTTAAAGAAAATTGCAAAAACATAAGTGATTATAAAAGAAACTAAAACGATTAATACCTTAATTAAACTACTTCTCGGATAAATTTTAAAAATCGTTGATGAGACAAAGAAAAGTCTATGAACTTGTTGCAGTAAACTTGACCTCTTATTACAACGGTAATGTATAAAGAATTACGGCATTATGTAAATAATCTATTTGCAAAGCTTTTGTTAAACTTTAGATACTCAGTAATCTGCTGAGCACTCCGGAGAGCGCGTAGGTCATTATTGTGTCTTCGACATATATTGTGCGGATATTATTATAAGTTATAGATGACTCAGCAGTACATAGTGGTGTGCTGGTAAGTTAATAAGAAATAAAATCTTGAAAGAGAAATTAATTACAATAAAAGTTAATACATGTGTAGGCAGAGAATTATACATAGTAACTACAGCAATGCACATTAGCAAATGCTAATAATTACTACTTGGTTGGTCAGATAATCATTGCAATCTAATTCCTGTCCTAAAAATATAATGAATTCAAAGTTAATTTTATAATGAACTCGTAAAGGATGCGGTACTACTTGAATACTTAATCCAAAACACGGAAACAGCCACGAGAAGCTAATGTTCTTAAACTTAAATCAAGTATGTAATATGCTATGAGTAATAAATTAAAAAAAAAAGCATGTAATATTTATATCAATGTGAATAAACTATTCAAATTTTTCCATTTCAATTTTCTACCTCATAAATAAATCAAACTTCCATAATTGATACCACGCATATGCACATGCATTCTGATTATTCGCGTTTCTGATTAGACAACCTACTCAATCCTGGATGCAAATTAAATTCGATTTCTCCAGATTTGTACCTTTGCCACGTAGGTAGAAAATAATATATATATATATATATATATATATATATATACAGGGCCGGTCCTACCTTGAATGCGATGCATGCAAAAAATGCGGGCGCACGCCTTAGGAGGCGCCAAAACGAGATTCGGAAATGAAATTTTCAATATAGTTTTTTTTTTCAATATAATTCAAGAAACATATAATTTCTTTGCATTTTTCACTAATTTTTGAGCAACATTTAAGATGAAATTTTAGATATTTTAAATAATGAAAAATCAAAATAAAATAATCCAACATAAAGCACCAGTGTTACGTTTAATAATAAAAGGCTAGAATTTTTTTTGCTTTCCATGATTTGTTTAATAAAATAAATCGTATAAAATCTCCAAAATAAATAAGTAAGATTTTTCAAACATATTATTTCAAGCAATAATAAACATACTGATATGTTTGGATGTCCTAAAAAGTTTGGATTAAAAATAAGGTTTAAAATCAATGTGCTTTTATATTAAATATCTATTCTTTGTGTACTAAAACCAGAGTTATTAAAAAGTATTTAAAAAAATGACGTAGATCTTATAATTTTAATGATAAACTGTTAAAACAGTTAAAATGAGAAGGGGGGGAGGGGCGCTAGAAACAAAATTGCATGCGGGCGCTGAGGACCCCAGGACCGGCCCTGTATATATATATAAACATATATATTGTGTGTATGTGTGTATATATAAATAAAATATTTATTTGGAAACATATATTTTAAATTCATATTTTCGAAAAGCGAAAACGCATTACACTACTGCTTGGATATACAAGCTTTAAAACTCTTGAACTCGAGTTTATAGATTTCGTGCTAAATAATATATTAATATTATATACATATTTTGTGTATATTATTATATATACTCAATATTAAGTAATATAACAAGAGCAACAAGGGTTTGATTGTATAATTCATCATATTTTGAATATATTCCCTTTTTTCTTTTGAATATTAATCCAAAGTTATTGAAAAAAATTAGTATACATTTGGTGTATCTATTTTGTATATGCACTAATTTTGGAAGCATATATAAAGAGCCATAAAATTAATCTGTCTTATTTCAAATGAGATTGATTGCACAAACTATTAAAATGCATTCCATTATATATAAGAATCCCTTGCAATTATGACCTTACTGTGAAATGTGCAGCATGAATAATATATTTATGCAAATTGCGCCCTTGAATAGCTACGAGTTTAGATTTAAGTTTACGTCGTCACTGACGACACAATCTGTGCCTTAAAGTTATCGATTACCTTTCATGCTACATTAATATTATTAAGTACTTCAAAATATATTGTAATTGAAGTTTTATACTTTGTTTTATTGAAATCGTACCAGTTTCAAAATTCGTGTTTTTTGCCTCGCGGCAATTTAAGTCTCTGAGTCGTCGTCGGGCTCGCACGAACGTAACAACGCAGTGAATCATCAAAGCGACGCTCGCCTAATGTCAGTGAACAACAAATGTGAGACTTGAATTGTGAATTGCTCTTGTTTTTCAATGAAAATGATTTATTTTAATAAAGGATATTGAAATATAAGTCAAAAATAATAGAAACAACACTATTAAAATCAGTTACACATAATATTGACTCTATAGTTTAGCATAACTTATTCGAAACGATCAGGTAAAAAACAATGTGTGAATTTTTAACATAATTAAATTGTTAAATGGAGTATTTTATAGATCTTAATTATAATTGTGATCGATTACTTTTAGTGCAGAATTTAATACGTGTTTTTGGCTAATTTAATTCATTGATAAAAGTTGTGCAAAAAGGCTATAGAACCACCATATGTGAAAAATTTATTAATTTTTTGTTACTAGAAGTGTTTTGCCTCAGTGATAGTCAGTGTAATAACTAAATATTATTTCTATCTATTTAAAGTATTTAGGCAATACAAAAATCTTACCTACTTAACAAAATATAAACGCCTGCAAAAAATGTATGAGAAAATTTAATCTTCAAATTTTGTGATGCAAACAAAGATATTTTTGCTTGTTTTTGTGTTAAATATTATATACATTATGCATTTAAAAATATTGGTGATTTAAATCCACACAATTATACACTCCGGCAATTTATAATTCCCTTAATTAAATTTCTATGACCGCAATAATGTAATATTTATTAATTTTTATTATAAAATGATATTTATTATCATTAATTTATCATAAATAAATATATGTTAATTATAATGACTGGATAAACAACCCTGTGAAACTGCAATGATTGTATCACAATGAATTGGATTTCCAATATTGTATTATACGTAATTAAAACATATTTCTATGGGCAACTAACAGCTCATTAAAATGTATGTCTCTTAAAAATCACCTTATAAATTTGAAATTAAATGTTCTGCTAAAATCACAGACAATCATGTTTCCCCAACAACAAATTTTACAACTATAGAATATTTTATCACTAGCTCGTTTTTTTTTTGTATATCCATTTATTTTGAATATCGGATATTCATTATTTATGAATTATATATTTTTATATTAAATTTCGAATTTTATGAAATAATCTACTATTTCAAGGTTAATCCGTAAAAATGCCTACGAGTGGGCCTGTTTATCAACCCACAACTGTTACCTATGAACAGCAGCCAAATGATTCATCATGGACAAGACCGGTTAGCTATTTATCACAAACTGTCTCAAATAGACGGTATCTTCACAAACCCATGGTACAAACATCAATCTTAATAACTGGTTTAATAACAATCATCATTGGTAAGTTTAGAGACAAAAATATTAAGTTAACTAATTAGTTTTTTTAAATGTGTGGTTGAAGAATCAATAAGAAGTTGTTACAATTTTCTATTTAAAGTTGTTATAGTCAATTAAAATGCTAATGCTGAAATAATACCTTAAAAAGTAAATATGTAAGTGAAATACAGAGATTAACAATTTTCCATTTAAAATATAAGAACATACATTTCCATTTAATATATAGGAATATACAGAAAATATAATTGAATTTGATTGTTTTAAATAAGTTATAGAGTGAAATATTAATCACTTATTTCTGCAAGACAAGACAGACAAATTCATAAAGTTTCGTAAAGCAACCACAAATTTGTGGACAAGGAATAATTGTCATTTTTTTAGGTCTGGTAATGATAGTTAATGGTTCCATAAATTACGCTGACACACGACAGTATCCTAAAGAAGTTGGTGAAGATCCAATTTATGCCCCTGGTGATAGCGCATACTTAGCTATAGCAATATCAGGTGTCTTAGTTGTATTTTTAGGCTTGGCAGTTTTAGGTAATCAAAAAACTTACTATGAAGCTATCTGTATATCGTAAAGTTGGAAGAATGTAAATTTTTAATGTTTCCTTCACATTGTAGTATTTTATATACGTTTGGTTGGCTGTCGAAGAACTTGTCCATGCGTACCATCAAAGGAAGCTCGATTGGCAAGACATTTACAAGGAAATGGTGCAGCACAAGTATTGGCATTAAATCCGTCCACAGATCTTTTAGTGTCTGCTCAATATGCACCAGTATCAGAAGTTCCTGCCCAAATTGATGAAGAACAAAGAAGGAAACTCATGGCCGGAGATAACAAAGATTGGTTAGCATACATAATATTTTTGAATCATGAATGAAATAATATGAATAAATAGAACTAAATAAATATTATATTCTGCAGTGTGAGTAGTGCTGAAGAAAGTGATAAAATGTTGGAAGCAGACCCGAGAATAGTTTTGAGGCCTCAGCAAGTAGAAGAAGCTTAGAGTTTTAAAGTTTATAACAACATTTAGCATCAAATTGTATTATCAATTCCTAAATTGAATACTAAAGCTCACATAATGGATAAATGAGAAGGCAATATGTAAGATACATACATTTATGTAGATATTAAAAATCACTTCATGTATATAAGACTTACTCTTAAGAGATTTCAATTTAACAAATGATAGTAACAATCATGACCCATGTTTGCTCGTTGTTAAGCAACTTAACAAAAGATCTCTGATGGATGTATTTTTTATTCTCAGACATTTTTTATGAAGGTATTATTTAATATTATTAGAAATTATTTTAATTCACATACTAGGATTGTATCTAGATGATACGATTTTATTAAGAAGATAAAATTATATTTTGAAAAGATATTTAGACTACTAAAATGATCTAGAAATTATTAGAATGCCACAGCACTAATGTCTGAAAAATATTTGTTTACATAAAAGAAGAAATTATTAATTTAACCGTTTTATCAATATATTAATCATTAGCTAGCTTTTTCAATATTTTGAAGTACAGAAGTCTTTAAATATCTGTATATTTGTGAAGATACAACAGACAGGTATACACTTTTAACCCCCATAAATACTGATAAATAGGAAATCTTCATATAAATTAGGACTTCTAGGGGATAAACTATTGAAGTAAATGAAAAAAAAAAGCACTAAATTCAATTTCATATTTATTAACTTTAAAATAAATTGTGCAAAAATAGATATAGTGCATTAACGATATTTCTATTCAGTTTAAAAATTCTTATCAATTTTTAGAATGAGACGAATATGAGAATCATTGAAAATGAAGCATAAAAACTTGATAGATCCACTTCATAGTAGAAAGATTAAAATGAATCACTATTAGCATATCTAATTTTACTGTACAACTAGATTCTGCTGTATTAAAAACTTTTTAGACGATAAGAATAATTATTAGTAAAAAATATATTTTATATTTCAATTGATTTGAAAAATAAGAATACTATTTGATATAAGTATTATTTTAATGAAAACAAGAGATCTAGTGAATATTTTTCTTATTATATTTTTACATCCACTCCAAATTTTAGTGATGTCCAAAATAAAATTTTTGAACATGTACTTCAAAACAAATTTAATTTTTTTTTTTTGAAATTTAGGAAAACCTCTAAATTGAACTTAATCAATGCAATAGATTATTTTCTTTCTCCAATATGAGTCACATTATTATGATTTCTAGAACTAATTACTATTCAAGTTAGTAAACAATTATTCACTAGATCTTTCGAATTACTTTTATATTAATATTAAGTTAATTATAAAAGTGTTGAAATGTGATTGTCGAATTGCTCAGTGAGAATTACCATCTAAATAACATTAATTTAACTTGTGTAAAAACATAAGAACTGAATAAGTAAATATGAGTTACTTTAAAAATATGATCAATATACATTAAATTCATGCATAGCAAAATTTCCAATTATGTATTTATAAAATCATATGATGCTACTTATAAGACTATATAAGCAGAATTATTTATAGATTGCATTTATTAACGCTGTATGTAATTATTTTTTTATTTAAATAAATAATATATCATCTTCAAAATGCACTGATATTAATAAAAGCATTAAAAATAAGAAAATTTCAATGTAAATAAAATGTTATAGTTCATAATATAAAACTATAACAAAATAATTTAGACGATTCATTTCATAAATATTTTGCTTTATTCTCACAAAGAAGAAATTTTTTGAATTCAATTTGCAATTGCATAAAGTAATAAATTAAATAGCACGCACCAGACATATCCAATACGTAATGTTACTGAAGAATACAGTTGAACGACAAATTAACAATTGGAAGAAGTAGCATGTGAAGAAATTCTTTGCGCAACTTGTAATTTAAAGTAAAATTCAAGGGCTGAGAAAAATGTGTTAAAAAACGATGCAGATGATCGAGATACAGTTATTAATTTAAAAACTATGAATAAGTATTATATTAAAAACAAAACATAATCACAAGTTTCTTACCTTACTCAACCCATGATGAACACTAGATGGTATATAATTTAAAAATCTTTTTTAAATCATAAAATTTACACCTCCAAATTTAAACTTTTTAATTTAAACATGACCTTTCCACACGATTTTATCAATATCACCTTTAATCATATTATAACAATGGCAATTGGATGATAAATTTACTTAACGACTGCATTTTCAACTTAAAAGTAATAGAAGTAATGAACTAATAAAACGCACCGAAGTAAGAAATAATCAGATATGGCAATACTAAACTGATTTTGGTCAAATAGACAAATTTCAATTTGCTATTTCACAAATATGCCGCCTGGAGCGCTAGCGAACCTGAGAATGATATATTCATTATCTTGCCTGCTTCTCTACAACAATAATAATAATTATCATGGATTTGTATTATAAACTTATAAACTATCATCATTGAGTAATGATTAAATTTTTCAGTTAATGTAGTTATAATACATTTCAAAAACATTAAACTTTAACGCGACATGTGACGCATAGGCATTTCTACTCTACAGACATTTATGCAATGGATTCTAGATACTACAATGACTCAGTGAAGGCTTATCTATGGCAATATTGACAAACAAAAACGAAATTTTTCGTCAGTTAAAAATGTAAACGCCTGATGTGTCAATTGATATTTTTATTTAAAAAAGTGAGATTAAAGAATGCTTAAAAAATAGATTCAGTGTGTGGTTTAGCTATAAGTTATGCCTTAGTATAATCGATATGGTTAGGTTTCGTAAAGCAACCTATTATTTATCTTACTTATTAGACCAACGAATTGGGCAGAGAAGTTTATTAAACTTAGGTTAATAACCTTCTAAGAATGATCAATTTTCAAGGTTGATATTAAAATAGTAAAGAAAAATGTATTGATATAAATAGTGATAAATTTCAAGGTTGTGCAATACACATATGATGCATTTATGTTTTCGCATTTAATAGTTTTAATGTAAACAAATAGTAAACTGCAATGAATAGTTTAAACATTTCTGCATTGCAAAGAAATCGCGATGCAATTGTCTCAGATTTGGTCGTCAATGATGTTATTGATAAGCTGATTTCCAAATTAGTTATAAATGAAGAAGACAAAGGACTCATAGATAAAGAGGTTGTTATAGATGATAAAGACAATATATCTAATCGATCAGCACTTGCATTTATATGATTGGTATTTAAGGTATTTTATAAAAATTAAAGCAAAAAGATTCATTAAAAACAATCTTTTTTTATATTTTGTTGGAATTTTTGCATTTTTTAAAGAGTTTTTTAATCTAACAAAATTATTTTAGTTTTTCTTTACAATAAGTAATTTGAATTTAGCATCTTTTATTGATTTTTGTAAAGACTTATTATTTACAATATTTTTGATATTTCTAGAATTTTTTTCTAGAAATATCAGTGCTTCTTGTTCAATTATTATTTTGATGAAAAATCTAGTTAATCATTAACAAACTTGATGCAGCTTCTGATCGATTAGGCAGTAAATTACATATTATGCATTTGAAAAATTAAATTTAATCAATTTGTTCACAGAACAATGATAAAGACAAAGCAAGACAATTATTAGATATTTTAGCAAATAAAAACAATAAAGCCTATGAAATATTTCGTGAAGTACTTGAACCAGATTATGAGTGGTTAGCTAAACTTTTGGTAATAAATACCACTTCAGAATTAGTTGAAAGTATACAACAAGATGCTCTTACAATTGGTGGAGTTCCAAGAGATCCTCCATATTATGTGGAGAGAAAAGACATAGTAAGACTACATTGTATAAATAAAATAAATATAAGATAACATAATAAAACAATATTGATGTAAAATTTGTGTTAATCATTGTCAAAAAAACACAAAGTATTTCATTAACTACTGAATTATGAAGTAATTCTTACTGCTTCAAAGAATACTTTTCTTATAATAAAAAAATAATTAATTGTAGCTTAAAACTGTTAAAATTGGTTTGCTGAACCTAAAAAGATCACAATTTTTGCTGCTACATGGAATGCCTGGTTCAGGCAAAAGTTGTCTTGCACAGTCTGCAATATGTGATAGTGAGATCTTGAGCAAAATGACAAATAGAGTATACTGGTGTAATGTTGGGGAATGTACAACTACGGAACTAATACAACAGCACCTCCACAGGTAATAATCCATTATATTTTAAGATATACTCACATTCATGAAGAAATGATCTAAAATAAATATTTATTTTTTAGATTGTATCTGAAATTGCAGTCAGAGATGTCAAATCGAACAAATCGGCCCATTTCCGTATTGATGTCTGAAAAATTGGAACATATTCATGATAATTTAAGATGTTTATTCACACGTGATGAGTTTAGAGATGCATTATTAGTTTTAGACGATGTTCTTGATTCTCATACCTTAGAAATGTTTGATTTTGGATGTAAAATGCTTATTACAAGCAAAAATAAGGAGGTAATAAATAAATGAATCGAAATAAATAAGTGAAAGATACTTCATGAATAATACATTATTGCATTTTTGCAGATTTTCAATAAAGTCAATAACAAAGATGTACAAGTTATTGATGTGAAAGCATTCACAGAAAATGAAAGTGTTCAATTATTTTCAAATTGTATGAATACTAAAATTGATACATTAAGCATGGTACAGCTGAAAAATCTAAAAACAATTCATAATCTATGCCGTGGACTGCCAATGATTATAGCCTTAATTGGAGGGCAACTCAAACTTCCTTATAGTGCTGAAGTTTCTCGTATTGAAAGAATGGAAGATTGTATAAAGCGATTAAGTAACCATGATGACTTTTATAAATCTAATCAAGTGATATTTTCTGTAATTGATATTTGTGTAAACAATTTGCCAAAAGGAATCAAACAGAAATTTCAGGATTTAGTTATATTTTTAGAAGACGTCAATGTTCCTACATGTGTAAGAAATAAATACACTTTTAAGAAGTTATAGACAAACATCTATAATATATGAATTTTGTAAAGCAGAGCATAAAATTTTAGGTACTTCAACTCTTGTGGGACGAAACTAAATATTCTGTGGAGGATATTATGACAGAACTTAAAAATAGATCTCTAGTATTAGGACAAATAAATCCACAAAACAGAGAATTTGTATTTGGTTTGCATGATCTCTTACATGCGTATCTCAAGGAACGTTTGTCAGCTGCTGAAATAAGAAATACTCATATTAAATTGATAGATGCATATCGCAAGGTAGTATTTATAATTTTTTATATATTCATATTATATTAAAAATGCTAAGGATATTTATTTTATAGAAATGCAATAATGATTTTTCAAAGCTACCAAATGATAATTATATTTATTCATATCTGGCATATCATTTTGAAGAAGCTGAACAATCACTGCCCGATATCTATTTAGATTTAAACTTCATTGGTGCCAAAATTAGAGCAACAACTGCTGCTGATTTGCTAACTGATTTAAGAAAATACAGAGAAAAAATTATAAATGGGGTATGCATATTAAGAAATGTATTATTTTAATTACATGAAAGATATGTAAAATTACTTCTTGAAGATTATCTTTATAATTATTTTATTTTTCTAGGATAAATTAAGAAAATCTCAATTAAATGAAATGGAAGAATTTGTCAAAGATTGTGGTTATAATTTGTATAGATACCCTGATTTGTGTGTAATTCAGTTAGCTTTATCTTGGAGAACGGGTTATTTAAAAGCTTTAGCCTCAGATATTGTCAAGAAGAAAACAGACCGTTTGTTTGTAGATATTTGGTAAGATCTTTTATTGTATGAGTAGTAAGAGCAATTTACACAAGTATTAATGTAAATGTAACATTATAGGTGCAAAGAAAAAGGGCCACCTCATCCACAAATTTTAGATTTAAATTCAGTGCCGGTTGTAGCTAGATTTGCAATTGACACAAATCAAATACTAATTGGATGCAGTGATGGGGCTATTGAAGTAATTATTCTAATGAATAAGTTTTATATACATAACTAATACTTTTTTCTAAAAAAATAATACCATTAAACAATACTTACATTTGATAACATTTTCATGTTGTTTTACAGATGTGGGATTTAAATTATTATCGTTTACGAGCGAGATTTGACGGACATAAAAAGCCTTTAAAGTGCTTGAGAGTAAGTCCCACTTGTGAAAATTTTGTTTCATTATCTGAGGATGGTGAAAGCCGTTTATGGAATATACCAAGTACTTTATCTCACAGTAATAGTTTTGCTAATGGTAATGTATAGAAGTTTGATCATGAGATACATCATTTTAAATTGGAATAAAAACATTGATGTAAAAATTAGGAATTGAAAAAAAAAAAATATTTTTACATCAGAATAACAATTTGATATTTCTTAAGTTTTCTTATAAATAATATATTTCTTTTATCTAATTAAACTATTGTCGTTATATTGTTTCACCACAAATAAATATTTTCAGGTACACCAAATGGTTCCCCATCACCTATAATTAAGCAAAAACAGTGGAGTAGTTTATATGATACAGACGCATCAAAATTTTCATCATTGCATATTTTTGAATCTGATTCTGATAAAAAATTTAAACTTGTCTCTTATTCTAATAATGGAGAGTATATATGTTTATGTTCAGATAATGGCTTTATTAATATTTTTGATGTAATGACTAGTCAAACAGTGGTTGTTAGAAATATTGAAATTGAAAATATCATAAGTTGTTGCTTCTACAAAAAAAATTATATTATGATAGGAACTAGTAGTAACGAAATATGGTTGTTTAATATTCTACAATCTGAACATAAGAGTAAATTCAATTGTGAACAACAGAGCATACATCTATTAACAAGTAAGTATAGGACAAAAAGTGCATTTTTTATGTCATAAGAAGTAAGCAACATACTCTGTGTATTTAATATTTGTAGATAAATTTGGAATGGGTATTTCAATTGCTCCTACTTCAATTGGCTATTTTAAATCACAAAGTATTGTTGAACTACACGATAACATAAAGTGCACATTTGCAAATATCACACCTGAGGGTGATATTTTGGTGACTGGAAATACTGAAAGCATTACGATCTTTGAAGTGAAATATGATGAATATGGATACATAGAGAAACTTGAAGTTTTACACTTTATTGAGGATTTCTGTGGGTATGTTGGACATAAAAATAATGAAATATTTTTTTGGTTTGTATTATTTCAAAATATAATTATTATTTTATCTCTTTCAGAGAAGTGTCATCAGTTGATATATATCAAAATAGTCCTTGCATTTATCTATTGGTTACGATTAAAAATAAAAAACTTATAAAAATTTGGTGCCTTCAACCAGGAGATTTTAGTACTGATTACAATAAGACTTCTCGTAGATTACCCATATTTGACTGCATTTTCGATCCCCTACCCATTACTCCAGATGGAAAAGATACAATGAAAACATTATCACAACAATTATCAAATAACAGTTTAGGGATACAAAATTTTGGATTGAAATTCAGCACATGTTCTCCAAATTCACTTCGGCATATTAATGATAATTATCAATTAGCAGTAGCGGACAGCAGTTGTAAATTGCAAATACAACGGGGCCATAATATTTATTACACAAATGTGAATGAACAATCTTATAAAATTAATTGCATTTCTATGTCAGCATGTGGCTTATTTATTGCTTATGGTCTTGATAATGGTTATATATTTGTCTATCAAACAAAATTAGACAGTAGTAAAAAGATTATTAAGTTACCTGATTCTGCGTGTTATTTAGAATTCATCAATGATTTAACTCTCATCGCAGCTGGTAGTTCAGGTTCTTTGATGACTTGGCAGAAAGAATTTTCAATAAAACTGCAGGATATTATTGGTGTCCAGGAACCTAAAATAGAAAAAAGCATAAATATTTATGCTGAAAAAATTGTAAAATGTTTTGCTTATAAAAATTATATTATATCAATATCTAGTAATTGTTCAATTAAACTCTGGTGTCTGGAAAATGAGCATAAATTAGTATCAGTTTTGTGGGGCAATCCCTCTGCAAAAGGTTATGTGACCTGTGCTGCACTTCAGAAAAACAGTTTAGCTGTAGGAAATAATGATGGATCTTTGTTAATTTTTTCTTTGAAGAATATAAAGGAGGATAATATAGAAAATTTCAGGGCTTTGTGCATACACAAGTATGATGTTGATGTACCCATAGTTAGCTTGGATATAGCACTAGATCAAAGTGTAATTGCCTTAGGATTAGATAATGGCGATATAAGAGTGAGTATTTATGGATATTATTTTCAGTTTTGTATTATCTAATTTACATTTTTTTTTAGTTGTGGTCAACAATAAATAGCTCGCAGATTTGTGTTCTTAAGTTGCATAAAACTGCTGTACATCATCTATGTTTTGCACATGAAATTCCAATTCATCACCTCTGATATTGCTGAGTACCTCTGATGTTCTGGCATGGTGGAATATTTCATATTGTTTAGAAAAATATGTAAATTCCTCAAATCAAAATAAATATAAACGAAAGAAATCTTTAGATACAATTAACCATTTTCGAGAATTAAATTTAAAAAATATCACTAATCCTGACAAGTGGAGAAATAAAAGTGGACCAGATTGGAGGCCTGAATTATTAATATGTGTAAAAATACAAGGCAAGCACGCATTTAAGGTAATTTACAATGATTTTTTTACTTCTTTTGTTACCGTTGATGATTCTGGTCAGTTTTATTTGATGAGACTTAAGTGATTTAAATAAATGTAGTAAATAGTAATCTATAGTCATTTTTTCAACTCCTATTACTTTTTATTTAACTAGCAAAATTAACTTTAACTATGTGCAATATTTTTGAAGTCGATATGCACGTGAAAATTTCAAATTGTATATAACTAATTTTACTTTTAAGATAATTGTGATACAATCAATTCTAAAATAGTTATTATAGAGAAAATTCTTTTCTAATAGAATTCACTACTAGTAAAAATAATATTGGAGTACAGAACTATTACTATCTGTGCACTTAATTATCATGAAAATTTAGAATTTTATATAATTGGCTTTTATATATATCTAAATATAGGTATAAAAGTATTCCTCATACAATTAAGGACAATGAAGCAAATTCTTTTCTAAAATTTATTTATAAGTAGTAATGTTGCAAATGCATTTATAGAAATTATAATTTAGATACACGTACAATATATGCATATGTATTTTAGGAAAAGGGTAACTTTATGAGACAGGTTACTCAAACCGGTAATTCGTTTTAACTATTTAGATTATGTAACATCAATAAAAGCTATATATTAATTCATAGAGAAATTTATCCAATACTCATGTAAATGACAGTGTTTAAGATTGTTAATGTAAGATAAAGCATTTAATAGATAATATTGTGAATAATTTAGGATATAATTTAAAATTATATGAATAATGAAATATTTTTGAGATTTATTTTTAACATAGTATTAACATGAATTCATAATTATAAAATGTAAATGAAATATATTTAAATATAAAGTTGTATTATGTTTATATGCACATACAAACTTATAATATATATAAGTTTGTATGTGCATATAACTTATAATATACATATATATATATATATATATATATATATATATATATATTATAAGTGTGTGTATATATATTGTATGTGTGTGTGTGCATGAAATGTCAATTGTACATAGCAATAGTCATATGGGTGCCTTGTTTTTAAAATAAAATATATATATTTTATGTAAAAATGCATTTTTTTATACTATGAATTACTATCTTGTGCAATTAACTATAAGTCATATGTTTTGTATAAAGCAAAAATATAGATGAAATGATTATAATAAATATGATTCTTATTATCACGTTTGCTTTCTTCACCACTTATAATATCTGCTATATGCTATAAAGAGGAATGTTAAAAAATCTGGAAACTTCTCCACTTATTGTTCGTCATTTGTAATATAATATAATAATACTAAATATTGTTGGGCCCCAAGATTACAAACAAGAATAGAATATGTTTATATCAAATACTACTTGCTATGCCACGCGCTCAATATTTTTGCCAATGACTACTTCTTTGAGAACGTTGATGGCATAGATAAGGAAATGATAATGATAATGATGGCATAGATAATGATTGATGGAGTACGACAATCTGGACAACAATCCAGACACGATATCCGAGTCGTGGAACATTTTGGCAATCGCGTTGAAGCGCTGCCTTGGCTGGATCATGTGGGAAATGTAAATCCTGGTGTCGAAATCTAGATGGTAGGCAGGATTCTTGGCCTGGAGGAATAAATAGTAATAAAAATATAAGTAATATTAACAACGTTTGAATGTATTCAACCTTTATAAAAGTTTTAACAAGGTCACTATAGTGAAGCTATAATTTTTCCTGCACGTTCCCTGTTGCTCTGATAACTATCAGGAACAGAGAGTAGTCTCAAAATTTCCAAATTTTGTCTGATATTTTGGCCTGTAGTAATATGAATTTGAGAAATATTTAATTATCTTTACAGTGATAAAAAAGCTAAAGTTATGCAACATATATTAAAACAAGATTTTAAATTTATGTATAGCATAGTATTACAGAGTGTATATATTTACTTGCGTTCTTATATATACCAATACCTTTATAATTTTTGTGATGTGTATGTGTGTGTGTGTTTCGACATATATCTAGTATGGTATTTTCACATTTCTAAAAATAAGTTTTTAAAAATTGGTTTTATTTTATTATGAACACCATTTAAGCTGTTTGAAGAATATTTTTATAATTAACAATTGTATGCATAATTTTGAATTGTGTAGTTTATTATATTATGATCGCAGTAAATTTAGATTTGAAACTTGTTTGATAAATGAAAATTTTGTTTAAAGTTTTGTTGCATTGTGAAACTTACACTAACTGATCAAATCAATATGTAATCACATAGATTACTGTACTAAATTTTTTATAAAATTAGTCTTAAGTAGTTATAAAATGATTAATTATTGAAATACACTTGTAAAAATTGTAATGATCAATTAAATTATTTATTTATTTATTATTTATTTATTTATTTATTAAATTTTGATTATTTTAATTGATCATTACAATTTTTACAAGTGTATTTTTATAACTACTTAAGACTAATTTTATAAAAAAATTTAGTACAGTAATCTATGTGATTACATATTGATTTATTGACATATTGATTTTAGAGTTGGTTAAATATTTTGAAATATAAAAAATCAAACCAAGGTCAAAAGAAAAATATGAAATAATTCAAAAAATGTTTAATATTACATTTTTCCTTTAAATTTCGTTTATTTTAATTAATCAAAATCAAATGACATTCTGTGAGAAAACACAAAATATTTTGTATTATATAATTGCTTATATAAGCAATTTGAATTATCTAGTGAAAACAAACCACTCGTTTGCAAAGTTGAAAAACAATTAAATTATTACCATTTAATTGTTTTTCAACTTTGCAAAGGAGTGGTTTGTTTTCACTAGATAATTCAAATTGCTTATTTTCTGTTTTCTCACAGAATGTCATTTGATTTTGATTATTTAAAATAAAGGAAATTTAAAGAAAAATGTAATATTGGCTTCACGTGTTGCAGGAATGTAAAACTAAATTTTCTATCAAAATTTAAAAGCAATTTAAACTATTATGATCATTAAAATTGCTAAATTTCAAAATTATTCATGTATATGAGTATATAAATAAATAAAAAATGAAAACTTGTCTGTATATTAAAAATGTAAAAATATTTAACAAATTTTATACTTGAGAAAGGAAAAGCAAACAAGTGTACTGTAAAACACAGGTTAGTGAAAAAAAAAAAATTTATTCTGCACCAAATTTATTTATTTCAATAAACAACAACTAATTCATTGCAGTGTAAATTTTTAGAGAGTTTACTAAAAGAATGGAATATCGTTATTTAATTTATAAAACCCTTAATGTTAAAATTGAAGATTCAAATAAACGTCGTTTCGATTTCAAAACAGAAGAGGCGTTCGAGTTCCTGAAACGCCATCTTCGACCGAGCGAACGTGCACGCTCTGCAGTCGCACGTCTACAAGTCTTTTGCACATCTATGCTTTGCGACTATAGGAGTTGCGTGAGGGAGTTGTCATTGCGAGTGAGAGTTCATTTCCATCGTGGCGATTGCTGGAAGAAGACATCGAGACGTCGTCGAACACGGACGAGCGGGCCTGACCCTTCGCTGCCTGTGGAGTACGTGCGACCTGCAAGCGTCACCTGGTACGTTGCACTTGTGCTAATTATATTTCTCTTTGCGGATTCACTCGTATTGCATTTCGTGTTTTAAGATGTTTTAAATTTAATTGAAACCTTTCCTCATTTTTGTTTTTTTTTTTTAAAACGTGTGCTCGATTTATGTAGTTTTTGCTCAAGTCGTACTACTGTCTAAGAGGTACGCCGGATATATTTAATTATTTTATTTTGCATCATTTGGTGCCCACTGTTAAATAAAACTACATATTATTATTTGTTGACTGGGCAAGAGTTGAGCTGGCGGTCATTGTGCAGAAGAAATAATCGAAGTAATAGTAAAAAAGTTGTGAAAGTAAAAAATGACTGTTAATTCATTTTGTGAATTACTATGAGTACATTTATACGGATCGTTTAATTTGAAGTCTTATTTACATCATTATCATCTGCTAATTCACTTCAATTTATATATCAGAAGTATTGTGTAAATTGGACCACAATCATAATGTCATCAAGAATTTTAAAGCAAAATTAGTTTTCAAAATTAGTTGAAAAAAAGTTACAATTTGAACAACAAATTGACAAAGAATAGTTACAATTTGAATGAATATTTGAATATTTGGTGACGCATCAACAATGACATTTAATAATGTATGTATAATCAACTAAATTCAATAATAATTTGTGTATTTTGCAGGTGCGGTTAGGTTTGCGTTTGCTGCTACCAGAGTCCTTCAGTTTTTATACAAACATTGTTACTGTGACGCTCTGAATGTGGTATTTATTGGAATTGCATTTGGCACGAATAGATTTATTAAGCGGTGATTTTGTTCAAGATATTAATTGATCAATACTTTAGTTGTCACTATAACTTTTAGAATTTTACAAAATCATTAAGGCATTGTATTTCATGATTCGAATGATCACGATATGTCTTGCATGTGGGTTAATTTATTAGTTAGGTAGCATCAGTAGTTTTATTATTAATAATAACAAATACTAATACACTAATCTATTCAACTATTGAATAATAATGTGGTCGTTTGAATCATTTGAGATTATGCAATGTGGATTTGACATATTACATTAAATTTTAATTTTCACTGTTTGAAATTCATGTTAATGCATTTCATATAAAACCAAGTGCAATTCTTAAACTGCTAGTAAATTTCTACATTCTATTTCTGGTCATCAAGATGAAATCACATGGAGGCCACAAAATATCATATCAAGCAAATTGTTGAGAATCGAATGGCCAAGTATCGAGTGAAAATTGACCACTGACTCACTTCACCGGGAATCGCTCTGAAAATAATTCAAAAAGTACGTTTTTATCCATAATCAGTATAATTGTGAACAATAAACAATGTTTATTTTTTTTCAGGTTCTTTCGACTACTGCTGCTCTGTACACTGACCCCTTCACCAAGAATCGCTCTGAAAATAATTTAAAAAGTACGTTTTTATCCACAATCAGTATAAATTTGAACTTTAAATAACATGTTTTATTTTTTTTCAGGTTTTTTCAACTACTGCTGCTCTGCACACTGACCCCTCACCAGAATCGCTCTGAAAATATAATTAAAAAGTACGTTTTTATCCATAATCAGTATAAATGTGAACATTAAATAACATGTTTATTTTTTTTCAGGTCCTTTCAACTACTGCTGCTCTGCACACTGACCCCTTCACCAGGAATCGCTCTGAAAATAATTTAAAAAGTACGTTTCTATCCACAATCAGTATAAATGTGAACATTAAATAACATGTTTATTTTTTTCAGGTCCTTTCAACTACTGCTGCTCTGCACGCTGACCCCTTCACCAGGAATCGCTCTGAAAATAATTTAAAAAGTACGTTTTTATCCACAATCAGTATAAATGTGAACATTAAATACATGTTTTTTTTTCAGGTCCTTTCAACTACTGCTGCTCTGCACACTGACCCCTTCACCAGGAATCGCTCTGAAAATAATTTAAAAAGTACGTTTTTTTTATCAAATCAGTAAATGTGAACAATAAATAACATGTTTATTTTTTCCAGGTACTTTCAACCACTGCTGCTCTGCACACTGACCCCTTCACCAGGAATCGCTCTGAAAATAATTTAAAAAGTACGTTTTTATCCACAATCAGTATAAATGTGAACATTAAATAACATGTTTTTTTTTTCAGGTCCTTTCAACTACTGCTGCTCTGCACACTGACCCCTTCACCAAGAATCGCTCTGAAAATAATTTAAAAAGTACGTTTTTATCCATAATCAGTATAAATGTGAACAATAAATACATGTTTATTTTTTTCCAGGTACTTTCAACCACTGCTGCTCTGCACGCTGACTCACTTCACCAGGAATCTTTCCAGAAACATGTTACCAGGTATGTCTTTAACCATATCAGTATAAATGCAAACATTCCTATAATGTTTCTTTCTTTTTTGCAGATCTTCTCGATCCAACTATTACTGCCCTGAAGCCTTAAAATCATTCACGTGAATGACTCGCAAGTGGTTTTTTTCAATGACTGTCTATAATTATGCATGATTAACTTAACTCTTATTAACTCAATAACATGACTAACCTCACTAACTTAATTAGGCAGTTAATATAAAAACCACTTGTTGAGTTTTACTATGAAGGTCTTAATGGGGTTACGTGGAAGACACCGCTGCATGATTAATCAGGTAATTTATTCTTATAGTATATTTTATGAACCTTGTTACTAATTCATTGTTTTCGTTTATAGGGTAACCAACTTCAAGCCAAGTGCTCTTCAACGCTCAAGTTGCTCATGAGTGAGAACAATCATTTGATCTACTAATTATGTGTCCGTCCGTCCGTCTCTTCACCAGAGAAGATGCCTACTATGATTTATTAAATAGTTAAGTGCTTAGATGTTAATGAAATAATGAATAAATATATTGTATTAATTTAATTTGTTGTTTTAATTTAATTATGAGCCACTTACGGCCAAATCACATCATGCTGTAACGTAAATTACAGAAATATTTAAACATGTCTACATTTTAAAAATTTCTTGTGTTATTAATAGGGATACTTATTGAGTGCACTTTTTAGTGTAGACAATTGTGTAAGAACAGTTTCTTTCACTGTTTGGGTTTTCAAACATCTTGCCGCATCTTGGTTAAGCTCTTTATACCTTGCTTTGACTCGGTAGAACTCTGCGTCATTGCTTTGACTCGATAGAAACGCGTTGACAATAGACTTTGCTTTTTTCCAAACCCTTATGTTAGTCGAGTGCCTTAAACATTTAATGTGTCAAACCGATGTTTACTCTTGTTTAAATATTATACTTTCTATTATTTCTTCAAATGGTGCACTTTTTCTTATTGTTAGCTATAAATATCATTTATTTAATATCATACTGTGTTATATTATATATACTATAATATATATATATATATATATATATATATATTATACATTAGACAAATGTTAATGTATTTCGTCATTTATTACTGTAATGTATGAATAAATTAATATAATGTATATTAACTTCCCAAGGGTAAGTTATGTAATGGCCGAAAACGGATTGAAAAATTTTTACATTTTATCGACGTTTGAGGTTTCTGAACGTTTGGCATACTCAGAAAAAATGGATGTGTGTGTTGTATGTGTGTGTGTTTGTGTGTATGTATGTGTGGATACAAATTTCCAGTCACGTTTTAGGGCGCACGGATCAACGGATTTGAATGGTTCAAAAAACATTCGATTTCTATTGATAGGGAAAAGAGCTGATTAGTTTTTGGCAAAGGCAGGTCCAGCCGTCTCGAAGATACGGAGCAAAGAGTGCAGAAAATAGAAATCGAATTTTTGAGAGAACGGAGTATCCGATTTGCATGATCTAAAAAACATTCAATTAGTAATGATTGGGAAAAGTGTTTATTAGTTTTTGGCAAAGGCAGGCCCAGCCATTTTGAAGATACGGAGCTAAATATGTAAAAAATAGCAGTTTTTGAGAGAACTAAGCGTCCGATTTAAGTGATTCAAAGAACTTTCTGCTTGTCTTAACAAAATAATTGATTTTGGAAAAAAAATTTGTTCCAATTTTTTTTTTTTTTTTTTGTTTTTAGTTTTTTGTATATCAAAAATATTTCAGATTTTATTTTATTATTTTATATTAGACAATGATACAATATTTATAATAATCTATTAGAAAACATTCAGTATTAACGGGAATTCCAGCAATTTGCCTAAGGCACGGTGCCATAATAGCCTCAGACAGAATCCACTTACAGCTAGTTAAATACTGTGATACATTGACTTGGAAGTTTTGAATAAACTAACTGAACTTTATTTGGAGTGTTTCATTTCACACAATTTTCAGTGATATATGTTAGAAACACACCGTATAGGTATAGGTATTATAAACATTAATATATTTGTTGATGTTATCATAAACATTAATGTACTCATTAATTCGTTTTTCGGCGAGGATTTATTATTTTGAATAAATTTCATAAAATATATTACAATTTTTGTAATCTAATTCTATTATGATCAATGCAGTTAATGAAGTTATGACTTTGATCATTTCAAATAGACTAATCTATGGTTATTCACTCATTTCAAACATGTCAAAAATGATAACACTTTTCACTCAGTTTAATCTATACTATTATTCAAAGTGTTAATTAGTTCATTTTAATTAATATACTTTAAATATTGGTCAGTTTTACTTAACTTTGGACTTATACAATAAAGATCAACTTCTCAAACTTTTCAACTTTTCTTGCTCTTTTGCACAATGATATCTTCATTGTTATTGAGAATATTTTATTTTTACTAAGTTATTTTATTATTATATTATTTGTATTAATTTTCATCGGCATGTTTACTCTACCACCCCTTCTCCTTACTTTACACTACCTTAACCTAATACCTACCTATGTTAAGAACTAATACTCTTATACCTTGCTTACCTTTACCACGTCTCGAACCTGCTACCACGTTCTCTCCAGTGACTACCACCTCCTAACGCGCGACGCCATGACGATCACATTAGTAAACCGTTGCAAAGTAGATGATATTGTATATTTTAAACGAAAAAAAACTAACAGGTCATGTGGCCAAAAAAAAGTTGGGTTTGTATGGCCTTTGTTGGCCTAATGGGTAGAGTGATGGCTTCGTACCATAAAGGTATCGAGTTCGAATCATACCTCAGGACAAAAAAAGAGTATTGTTCACGTTGTGATATTTATTTAGTGTTAAATAATAACACAAAATTAATATTTAGATATAACAAACTAACAAGTCATGAGGCCGAAAGAAAGCAGAATCGATGTGGCCTGTGCTGGCGTAATTGGTAGAGCGATGGATTCGTACCCAAAGAGTGCCGAGTTCGAACCATACCTCGGGAGAAAAAATGGAAAGCGTGGAATTTATATTTATTGTAGATAGCACAAAGATAAATTTGGATTTGATAAACTAACAGGTCATGAGGCCGAAAAAAGCAGAATCGATGTGGCCTGTGTTGGCGTATTGCTAGCGTGCTAGCTTCATGTCAACAGGGGTACCGAGTTCGATTCATATCTCCGGACACAAAACGCAAAATAGCGTGACTGTTGACGCTGTGGAACGAGGTATGCACGGAATCACATCCGTTCGAATTTGAGACCCCAGGCAGGTATGCTCCCCTCGATCTCGATTGAGAGGAGAGATACGCGCGAGAATCCCGTGTCATCCCCTAATGAACCCCGCAGCAGCCCCGAAAAGGGGCGAGGGGGGATTATAGGGGGGTGTGGGGTTCGCGAACCCGCGACCCTGTGGTCCGACCCTCCCGGAAAAGGGAGAGGGGGACTATAGGGGGGTGAGGGTTCCGCGCGACGACCACCACTGGGTCGCGCCGGTTGAAAAGCTGGGTGCGTCACAGGGTGGGTCGGTGTGCGAGTCCCCGGAGCACCCTCGAGTGCGATGATGGGGATGTGGGGTGAGGAAAATGCAGTGACGAGGGAAAAAGGGGTGGAAAGATATGAGGAGGGAGAGAAGGGATGGCGGGAGAGAGATAGGGGGAGGGATGAGAGAGGGGGAGGAGATAAGGGGAGGAATTAGAGAGGGGGAGAGAGAAAAGGGGGGGAGAGATAAGGGGAGGGAGAGAGATAAGGGGGGGAGAGATAGGGAGGGGGAGAGATAAGGGGAGGGATGAGAGAGGGGGAGAGAGAGAGGGAGGGATGGATGAGGATGGAGCGCGGACGTTACACATGCGGTTACTAAACGCATGAAAATGCGTTTAGTCTCCTCCCCTATCGCTTTCTTCCCTCATCCATCTCCTCCGTCTCTCTCCCCCTCTTCATCCCTCCCCTCTCCCTCTCATCCCCCCCTTATCTCTCTCCTCCCCTTATCTCCTCCCCCTATCTCTATCCCCCTCTCTCATTCCTCCCTTATTTCTCTCCCCCTCTCTCATCCCTACCCCTATCTCTCTCCCGCCATCCCTATCTCTCCCTCCTCATATCTTTCCACCCCTTTTTCCCTCGTCACTGCATTTTCCTCACCCCACATCCCATCATCGCACTCGAGGGTGCTCCGGGGACTCGCACACCGACCCACCCTGTGACGCACCCAGCTTTTCAACCGGCGCGACCCAGTGGTGGTCGTCGCGCGGAACCCTCACCCCCCTATAGTCCCCCCTCTCCCTTTTCCGGGAGGGTCGGACCACAGGGTCGCGGGTTCGCGAACCCCACACCCCCCTATAATCCCCCCTCGCCCCTTTTCGGGGCTGCTGCGGGGTTCATTAAGGGATGACACGGGATTCTCGCGCGTATCTCTCCTCTCAATCGAGATCGAGGGGAGCATACCTGCCTGGGGTCTCAAATTCGAACGGATGTGATTCCGTGCATACCTCGTTCCACAGCGTCAACAGTCACGCTATTTTGCGTTTTGTGTCCGGAGATATGAATCGAACTCGGTACCCTGTTGACATGAAGCTAGCACGCTAGCAATACGCCAACACAGGCCACATCGATTCTGCTTTTTTTCGGCCTCATGACCTGTTAGTTTATCAAATCCAAATTTTATCTTTGTGCTATCTTACAATATAAATAATAAATTCCACGCTTTCCATTTTTTGTCCCGAGGTATGGTTCGAACTCGGCACTCTATGGGTACGAATCCATCGCTCTACCAATTACGCCAGCACAGGCCACATCGATTCTGCTTTCTTTCGGCCTCATGACTTGTTAGTTTGTTATATCTAAACATTAATTTTGTGTTATTATTTAACACTAAATAAATACCACAACGTGAACAATACTCTTTTTTTGTCCTGAGGTATGATTCGAACTCGGTACCTTTATGGTACGAAGCCATCACTCTAAGCATTACGCCAACACAGGCCATACAAACCCAACTTTTTTTTGGCCATATGACCTGTTAGTTTTTTCCGTTTAAAATATACAATATCATCTACTTTGCAACGGTTTGCTAATGTGATCGTCGTGGCGTCGCGCGTTAGGAGGTGGGAGTCAATGGAGAGAGCAGGGTAGCAGGTTCGAGACGTGGTAAACATAAGCAAGGTAAGAGTATTAGTTCTTAACGCAGGTAGGTATTAAGGTTAAGGTAGTGTGAAGTAAGGATAAGGGGTGGTAAACGTGTCGGTGAAAATTAATACAATTAATATAATAATAAAATAATCTAATAAAAATAAATTATCTCAATAAAAATGAAGATGTCATTGTGCGAAAGAGGGAAAAAATCAATTTGAGAAATTGATCTTTATTGTATAAGTCCAAAGTTAAGTAAAACTGACCAATATTTAAAGTATATTAATTAAAATGAATTAATTAACACTTTGAATAATAGTATAGATT